CAAAGTCTGGAGGCTAGGGGACTGTTTAGCGCTAGCTTAGCACAAAGTCTGGGAGGCTAGGGAACCTTTAGAGGAGGAATTTCCCCAGAGAACATCAGGTTTAAAGAGTGAATCCCAGTGACTTAATCGGTTTCCTTGACATTCTCAATTCCATCAGGGTTCTCAGAGGAAGAACCACTCATGGTTCCTGGTTCTGATTCTGTGTTTCTCAGCTGATCATCAGCTGGTGAGTGAGCTATTTAGCTTAGCATCAGTTTTAACACATAAAGTCTGAGTTAAAGAAGCTTTTTCACAGTTTTTATTAAAAACAAGTTTTGAAACTAAAAACATTTTCTGGAGACTTAATGAACCTAATTATATCATTAGCTGATGAATCTGTGACAAAAAACTGCTCTGTCACCATGAAGGATGCAACAACCTGTGAGAGCTGCTGCTCCCTGTTCCCTGGATCAGAACCAGAAACTATCAGAGAGCTTCAGCAAACCCTGGTCTGGAGTCCCTCTGAAACCTGAGTGAAGGATATGTCAAGAGGAAACCGATTTAAGTCCTGGGATTCACTCTTTAAACCTGATGTTCTGGGAAATCCTCCTCTAAAGGTTCCCTAGCCTCCAGACTTTCTGTGCTAAGCTAGGCTAACAGTCCCCTAGCCTCCAGACTTTGTGCTAAGCTAGGCTAACAGTCCCTAGCCTCCAGACTTTGTGCTAAAGCTAGGCTAACATTCCTCTAGCCTCTCAGACTTTGTGCTAAGCTAGGCTAACAGTCCCCTAGCCTCCAGACTTTGTGCTAAGCTAGGCTAACAGTCCCCTAGCCTCCAGACTTTGTGCTAAGCTAGGCTAACAATCCCCTAGCCTCCAGACTTTGTGCTAAGTCTAGGCTAACATCTCCTGACCTCCAGACTTTGTTTGTTTAAGTCTAGTCTAAACAGTCCCCTGCCTCCAGACTTTTTATGTGCTAAGGTAGGCTACAGTTTCCCCTAGCCTCCAGACTTTTGTGCTAACTAGGCTAACAGTTCACCTAGCCTCCATCTTGGCTAAGCAGGATAAACACACCCTGGACACAGATCTGGATGATCAGGTTCTACAGTCAGCAGGAATTTATTACATTTAAGTTTCTCTTCCTGTCAGGAGTCCTGCAGCTCTGAGTCTGAGTCCTGCAGCTCTGAGTCTGAGTCCTGCAGCTCTGAGTCTGAGTCCTGAGCTCTGATCTGAGTCCTGCAGCTCTGAATCCAGACAACACACTTTTGTTAAAACCAGATGTGAGGTCTCCTTGTTATGCTGTTCTCTTCTTCTTCCCTATTTGTGTCTTTCTTTCCGTCAGTGTGTGTACATGTGCATTTCCTGAAGGTTGTGTTGTTGTTGGTTGTTTATTCAGGAGTGAATCACTGTTGATTGTAACATGGCTCTGACCTGCTGCTCTGTGAAGAGAGGCTACATGAATTTCCACACACACACACACACACACACACACACACACACCACACACACACACACACACACCAACTCCAGTGTTGACTATGATGAACAGAACTGCAGGTGTTTGATGTGTATTAAAGTTTGTTGTGACTGATGAAGATGAAGAGGTTTTCAGTTGTTGTTATTTATTTTTTAAATAAATAATTTTTATTGACTGTGGATGTTTTCACTGTTCTCAACTGCAGTCATGTGTTTAATACACACACACACACACACACACTGAAGTATCTTTTATTTCTTGTTTCTGTGTTGTGTTGATGTGGAGGAGCTTTACTTTAAAAATTGTATGTAAAATGTATTTTTCTATTGAAAGCAGCATCCGGTAATAAATCACTGAAAACACTAATAATCCTTTATACACTTTAATTAACAGTTCAATTAAGTAGTTAAATATTCATGTCAACTCTTTTTACAGAGTCAGTAGTTTTAGAGTCGGACTCTAGTCTCTGGGTCTCTGGACCTGCTGGTCTCTGGTCTCTGCACCTCTGGTCCCTGGACTCTCTGGTCTCTGGACTCTGGTCCCTGCACTCTGGTCTCTGGATCTCTGGTCCCTGACTCTGGTCTCCGGACTCCTCAGTTCTCTGGTCTCCTGGTCCTCCGGACTCTGGTCCTCTGGCGTCCTCTGGCACTCTGGTCCCTGACTCTGGTCTCCGGGCATCCTAGTCTCTGGTCTCTGGTCTCTGGTCCCTGCACTCTTGGTCCTCCGGATCTTAAGTCTCTGGTCTCTGGTCCCTGCACTCTGGTCTCTCGGACTCTAGTCTCTAGGTCTCTGGTCTCTGGTCCCTGCACTCTGGTCTCCGGACTCTAGTCTCTGGTCTCTCGGATCTGGTCCCTGGACTCTGGTCTCTGGACTCTGGTCTCTCGGACCTGCTTAGTCTCTGGTCTCTGGTCATCTGGTCCTGGACTCTGGTCTCCGGACTCTAGTCTCTGGTCCTCCTGGACTCTGGTCTCTGGACTCTGGGTCCCCTGGACTCTGGTCCTCGCTGGAAATCTGTCTCTGGTCTCTGGTCCTCTGGACTCTGGTCTCGTGGACTCTGGTCCTCGGTCGGTCCTGGACTCTGGGTCTCCGGAACTCTCAGTCTCTGGTCTGGTCCCTTGTTTATTTCTCTGGTTCTCGTGGACTCATAGTCTGCGGACTTTCTATTGTACTCGTGGGTCCCGTGGACCTCGTGGTCCATGGACTTCACCTGGTCTCTGTCTGGAGACGATCTTCGTCCTCTGGCTCCGTCCTGGACTCGTTGTGGTCTCTTCAGTCTCCGGTGCGGCTCAGTCGTCCCTGGACGATTCTCTGGTCTCTGGACTTCTGGTGCTCTGGCGTCTGGTCCTGGACTGCTGGTCTCGCAGGACTCAGACTCAGAGCTGCAGGACTCCTGACAGGAAGAGAAACTTAATGTAATAAATCCTGCTGACTGTAGAACCTGATCATCCAGATCTGTGTCCAGGGTGTGTTTATCCTAGCTTAGCACAAAGACTGGAGGCTAGGTGAAACTGTTAGCCTAGCTTAGCACAAAGACTGGAGGCTAGAGTACTGTTAGCCTAGCTTAGCACAAAGTCTGGAGGCTAGGGGAAACTGTTAGCCTACCTTAGCACAGGGGACTGTTAGCCTACCTTAACACAAAGTCTGGAGGCTAGAGTACTGTTAGCCTAGCTTAGCACAAAGTCTGGAGGCTAGGGGAAACTGTTAGCCTACCTTAGCACAAAGTCTGGAGGCCAGGGGACTGTTAGACTAGCTTAACACAAAGTCTGGAGGATAGGAGACTGTTAGCCTAGCTTAGCACAAAGTCTGGAGGCTAGGGGACTGTTAGCCTAGCTTAGCACAAAGTCTGGAGGCTAGGGGACTGTTAGCCTAGCTTAGCACAAAGTCTGGAGGCTAGAGGATTGTTAGCCTAGCTTAGCACAAAGTCTGGAGGCTAGGAGATTGTTAGCCTAGCTTAGCACAAAGTCTGGAGGCTAGGGGACTGTTAGCCTAGCTTAGCACAAAGTCTGGAGGCTAGGGAACCTTTAGAGGAGGATTTCCCAGAACATCAGGTTTAAAGAGTGAATCCCAGGACTTAAATCGGTTTCCTTGACATTCTCCTTCCATCAGGGTTTCAGAGGGACTCCAGGACCAGGGTTTGCTGAGCTCTCTGATAGTTTCTGGTTCTGATCCAGGGGAACAGGGAGCAGCAGCTCTCACAGGTTTGCACTTCATGGTGACAGAGGCAGTTTTTTTGTCACAGATTCATCAGCTAATGATATAATTAGGTTCATTAAGTCTCCAGAAAATGTTTTAGTTTCAAACTTGTTTAAAATAAAAACTGTGAAAAAGCTTCTTTAACTCAGACTTTATGGTTAAAACTGATGCTAAGCTAATAGCTCCACTCACCAGCTGATGATCAGCTGAGAAACACAGAATCAGAACCAGGAACCATGGAGTGGTTCTTCCTCTGAGGCTCATTGAACAGGTCTGTGATTTTTCAAATTTAAAGCTGGGTCCTGAATCTGGGTTTTCAAAAGTCCATTAAGTTCACTCACAGACACCCAGAGACCCACAGAGACCCAGAGAACCAGAGACCCACAGAGAGAGAACCAGAGACCCACAGAGAACCAGAGACCCACAGAGACCCAGAGACACAGAGACCCAGAGAACCAGAGACCCACAGAGAACCAGAGACCCAGAGAACCAGAGACCCACAGAACCAGAGACCCACAGAGACCCAGAGACACAGAGACCCAGAGAACCAGAGACCCAGAGAACCAGAGAACCAGAGACCCACAGAGACCCAGAGACCCAGAGACCCAGAGACACAGAGACCCAGAGAACCAGAGACCCAGAGACACAGAGACCCAGAGACCCAGAGAACCAGAGACCCAGAGAACCAGAGACCCACAGAACCAGAGACCCAGACAGTTCTCAGTCTGTAACATCAACAACAATAAAAAACAACAAGAACTCAAACAGGAAAACACACCATTTGTAGAAAAATCACAAAATGTTCTGAAAAAGTCTCAACACAGTCGTTTCATATTTTAATAAGGAAAAGACTGAAGGAGGAGCCTCACCTGATGAACTCACCTGGAGAAAATACACTGAACACTGAGTCAGTTTGAACCTCAGGGACAAAAATCAGAGGCAGGAAAATGATTCTCTTCTTTAGATAAAAATCAACAAAAACAGATACTGGTCTGACTTCGGTACTGTGTGAAATCATCCTCTGAATCAACAGGTGCACAGGTTTGACGAGACCTCAGCACTGTCACTGTGTTCATATAGAAAATAAATAAATTAGAAGAGAACCAATTTAAAGAGCAACTTAACATGAACTACACTTTTAGTCAAAGTTCAGTGATCTGAGACCTGATCCTGGTCTGACTCAGGTTCAGGTTCAGATCTGTTCTGGTCTGACTCTGTGATTCACTTTGAACCAGAACACAGAGCTCACAGAGATCTGGAGGTGACGTCAGCTGTGTTTGATTGACAGGTGAGCCCTCAGGTGTGTTTCAACTCTACATTTAAAAATATCTGACTGGCCGTGAGCTGCTGTCAGTCTACCCAGACCCCGTCCCCGTGCTGTTATTGGCTGTTTTGGGGCGGGCCGTGCGAGAACCATTTCGTCCAATGGGAAGGAAGGGGCTGGACTCAGAGGTGATGACGATGCTCGGGATTCGACCAATCGTGCCTCTCATCGTGTGTCCGTCAGTGAAGTCGCTGCTCTGTCAGACAGATTTTATTTTAATTATTAATTATCTTCATTAATATGAAGAGATTTTAGTCCTTGTATCTGTCTTCACTTTGTTTTCATCTGATACAAACAAAACAGAGCAAAGTGTAAATAAAACAAACAAACAACAAACAGGAAGTTCACTGTCAGTTAGTGGCAGTTTGACTGCAGTTTGTATGGAGTCACAGCAGTGCCATAAAAAAACAAACCATGTGGAAATATAAAAACAAACAACCAAATATATTATTAATTAATAACTTATATGTTTTTTTAAATAGTTATTTATTTATTTTAATATTAAGTCATTTATTTCTTTTTCTCTGTTCCTTAAAGTGAAGTGAGTTTGATTCACTGTTGTTGTTTCTGGACTAATCACACTTCACCTCTGTTAAAACAGTCAGTGAGTCTGCAGCCGTGCTAACCGCTCTGTGAAGCATGCTAACATTAGCATGATAACATGTTAAATATTTCAGTCTGGTTGTTTGTTGTGAAACAGTCACAGGCTTCACATGTCTAATGAATAAATAAAGTTCATTTGTGTAAATGACAAACCTTTAACTCAGAGTAAAAGCTTCTGCTCTGACATGATGAAGTGATGGTGATGTTTGTTTTGATTCATCTTGTTTTTTAAAGGAGGATATTTGTTCTCTCACATTTATTCACTTTCTACTTGTTCTGTCAAGTTAATAATAATAAATAAACTCACGTTTGGGATGCTGCTGCGTTCACTGACTCCTGCCGTGGAGAAATCAGTGTCGTAGGACGTCTGGAAAACAAAACAAACACACCCATGATGATGAAGGCCTCCTCCTCATCAGTGACGGTGAAGACCAGGAAGTAGTTCAGGACTCATGGATTAGATTTTAATCACATTCCTCATCACAAAGACTAGAGGCTACGGGAAAGTGTTAGCCTAGCTTAGCACTAACACTGGAGGCTATGGGAAACTGAATTCTGGATTAGAGCTTAATTACATCCTACATCATCAAACTGATCACTCAATTAACCTTAATTTTAATCAATGTCACAATTCAGTGGTGATGATGATGATGATGTCCAACAGGAACAGAGGATTTTCAGATTAAAGAGCAGCAGATTAACATCAACACCAGAACACACACACAGTCTGAGCCACAAATCACTCACAACCCCCCTCTTCCTCCTCCTCCTCACTGATGAAGGTGAACTGTGTGTACGTTGTGTCTGAGGGATGAGGGACCTGTTGCCCTGACGACAGGTCTGGATCAATCAATAAATATAAATCATCTTTAAACGACTGAAACATTCAGTCCTGTCCTTCCTTTGACCAATCATCAGCGAGCAGAGGGAAGGATTTGATTGACAGGTGAGAGGCAGTTACCTTTTCAAAGATGCCTGAGTCGTGGCTCTTTATCTTGGACTTGAAGCTGGAGGAGGGTTTGAAGTCGGGCAGCTCGGTGGTGTCTCTGCTGATGTCACAGGAGACCTGGCGGCTCGCCGGTCTGGAGCTGATACTGGACAGATCCGCCTCGGTGTCCGTCAGACCCTGAACAGGAAGACAAACACTTTGATACACATATAGCTCTCTCATCTCATCTGATCTCTCTGTCATCATAACTGACGTGGACGCACCGATTCGCTGTCCGAGGCCGAGGAGAGGCGGGACTTGCCGGTGCTCTGTCGTCTGAACTGGCTGCTGATGTCAGAGGTCTGGCTGGTCACGGTGGAGCGGCGCGTCGACATGAAGCTGCTGCTGGTGGAGCGGAGGTCACGAGGATGAACGCACAGCAACACGCCCAGACACGGGATGTACTTGGCCAGTGCTATCCTGCAGAGACGACCATAGTGTGAATGTTCGGTCCAACATGTGACCCCCCCTTAAAGCTTTACAGGCGCTGGAGGTGTTTCCTTCTGCTCGCCGTCTTTATGCTAAGCTAGGCTAACAACGCTCTGACTCCTGGGATCAGTCTCACAGAGATCTGTCAGACGGGTCTGTGTGTTGGTCCAGATCAGTCTGATGTCAGTCAGACTGTTTCACTAAAATAAAGACTCACTCATTTTAAGACAGGAACATCAGACCGTACAAAACATTCTGGTTCCTACTGGAACTACTGTGGGGAACAAGGGAGGAAAAACAGGGAACAGGTGAGCTGCAGGTGTGTTACCTGTACTTGGGGTGTGTGATGGCGTAAATGATGGGGTTGTGGATCGCTGAGGCCTTGGCAATGACGGCGGGAACAGAGTTCATGTAAGGAGTCAGCATGTCAGCGTACCTGCAGGAACACAGAACACAGAGAACCCTGTGAGGAACACAAAGAAGTATCAGTATCTGCAGAAACTACAGAACCTTTAGAACCTACAGAACCCACAGAAACTACAGAACCTTTAGAACCTACAGAACCCACAGAACCTTAAGAACCTGCAGAACCTACAGAACTAACAGAACCTAAAGAAACTACAGAACCTCCAGAAACTACAGAACCTACAGAATCTTTAGAACCTACAGAACCCACAGAACCTGCAGAACCTACAGAACTAACAGAACCTAAAGAAACTACAGAACCCACAGAAACTACAGAACCTTTAGAACCTAAAGAAACCCACAGAAAATACAGAACCCACAGAGCCTACAGAAACTACAGAACCTACAGAACCTTTAGAACCTACAGAAACTACAGAACCCACAGAAACTACAGATCCTTTAGAACCTACAGAACCCACAGAAACTACAGAACCCACAGAAACTACAGATCCTTTAGAACCTACAGAACTAACAGAAACTACAGAACCTTTAGAACCTACAGAACCTTTAGAACCCACAGAACCTGCAGAACCTACAGAAACTACAGAACCTTTAGAACCTACAGAACCCACAGAAACTACAGAACCTTTAGAACCTACAGAACCCACAGAAACTACAGAACCCACAGAGCCTACAGAAACTACAGAACCTTTAGAACCTACAGAACCCACAGAAACTACAGAACCCACAGAAACTACAGATCCTTTAGAACCTACAGAACTCACAGAAACTACCGAACCTTTAGAACCTACAGAACCCACAGAAACTACAGAACCCACAGAGCCTACAGAAACTACAGAATCTTTAGAACCTACAGAACCCACAGAACCTTAAGAACCTGCAGAACCTACAGAAACTACAGAACTAACAGAACCTAAAGAAACTACAGAACCTCCAGAAACTACAGAACCTACAGAACCCACAGAACCTACAGAACCTTTAGAACCTACAGAACCCACAGAACCTACAGAACCTACAGAACCCACAGAACCTACAGAACCTTTAGAACCTACAGAACCCACAGAAACTACAGAACCCACAGAAACTACAGAACCTACAGAACCTACAGAACCCACAGAAACTACAGAACTAACAGAACGTAAAGAAACTACTGAACCTTCAGAAACTACAGAACCTACAGAACCTTTAGAACCTACAAAACCCACAGAAACTACAGAACCCACAGAAACTACAGATCCTTTAGAACCTACAGAACTCACAGAAACTACAGAACCTTTAGAACCTACAGAACCTCCAGAACCTACAGAAACTACAGAACCTACAGAACCCACAGAACCTTTAGAACCTCCAGAACCTCCAGAACCTACAGAAACTACAGAACCTACAGAACCCACAGAACCTTTAGAACCTCCAGAACCTCCAGAACCTACAGAAACTACAGAACCTACAGAACCCACAGAACCTTTAGAACCTCCAGAACCTCCAGAACCTACAGAAACTACAGAACCTACAGAACCCACAGAACCTTTAGAACCTCCAGAACCTCCAGAACCTACAGAAACTACAGAACCTACAGAACCCACAGAACCTTTAGAACCTCCAGAACCTCCAGAACCTACAGAAACTACAGAACCTACAGAACCCACAGAACCTTAAGAACCTGCAGAACCTACAGAAACTACAGAACTAACAGAACCTAAAGAAACTACAGAACCTCCAGAAACTACAGAACCTACAGAACCCACAGAACCTTTAGAACCTACAGAACCTCCAGAACCTACAGAAACTACAGAACCTACAGAACCCGTGTGAGACCTGACACAGGGGTTTGGCTTAGCAGTCTGTTCTGGTTCGTCAGTGATTACCCGGCGAAGGCGGTGAGAGCGACGGTGGAGTACGGCGACCAGGAGATGACGTAGAGCAGGATGACAATCAAGGCGATCTTCGCCATCTTCCACTCGTTCTGCAGCCGGTGGAAACTCTTCACTGAGTCACGACTGCTGCCGTGACTGTGAGTGCTGCCATTAATCTTCCCCACAGCCCTGCACTCACACACACACACACACACACACACACACACACACACACACACACACACACACACACAGCAAAGACCATGTATTTATTAGAGGATTATCAATCACAGACACAGTAACATCAAAGACACACAATGACATCATCAAACACACCATGACATCACACAGTGACATTACATATACAGTGACATCACAACTGACATCATCAGACACACAGTGACATCATCAGACACATGACATCACAGATACACCGTGACATCACACACTGACTGGTTGGTGGTGCGGATGGCTCTGAAGATGAAGACGTAGCAGTAGATGATGATGAATAGCGGCAGGAAGAAGACGAAGATGAAGAGCAGCATGGTGTACGCTCGCACCGACGGCGTGAAGGTCATGTAGTCCCACGTACAGGAAGTCAGCAGACCCTCAGGGACATAGGCACCTGAGGGGCGAGAGACACAGACCAAGACAAAGAGAGAGAGAGAGAGAGAGAGAGAGAGAGATGAACCTCAGACCTGAAAGAGTTCTTTCTCTTAATCTCTCCTCATGAAAATAGTGTGTGTGTGTGTGTGTGTGTGTGTCCTCACTCCAGCCGAAGAACGGTGGCAGGCTCCACCCCAGAGAGTAGACCCAGGCCGCCACGAGGATGAAGAAGGCCCGTTTCCGTGACAACACACCAATGGAGGTCAGAGGTCGAGTGATGACAAAGTAGCGGTCGACGGCAATCACCGTCAGCGTGATCATGGAGCAGATCCCGAAGAGAGCGCCACAGAAGGCGTAGATCTCACAGCCTGCAGACATCATCAGCATCATCATCATCATCATCATCATCACAGAGTCAGACAATAATGTTATTATATTATTATAATATAAATGTAATGTTACACTGTGTGTATAGACAATATATACATATAAAATACTCATAACAACATGGCTGTGTATATATAACATGTATACATTATATATGCATGTGTTTTATATATAATACTCATGTAACAACCGTCAGTGTGTGAGTGTGTGTGTGTGTGTGTGTGAGTGTGTGTGTGTGTGTGTGTG